ATGATGGTAGCCATTCCATCTTGTTTACACCGTGCAAGCAGGTCCTGATTTGAAATTATTCTTGTCCAAAAAATATGGAGGATCCTCTAAAGACTTCTGGTATGAAAAGTCGACAATTTATTGAGGTCGTTCTCATAGCAAATAATATGATAGTAAACATGAGATTTATGTGTGAATCAAAATAATTGAACTGACACATCAGTATCAACTTCTAGTCATGTCTCACATCTGGGCATCCCCTTTGATATGTCCCTTTCCCTAGATCTACATGTCTCAGCTATGTCCCAATCTTGCTGCTTCTCTCTTCTACCTTTTAAATATCCAGCTGTTTCTAGCTGCCCAGACTGTCTTGGCTCTTATTCAGGCCCTTGCCATCTTGTGTATTGGTGTCTGTAATCTTGTCCCATTTGACCTTGATACTGTACCAGTCATGTTGCCACAACCATGTCCATTCAAAGCACTGTGTAATATCAAGCACATTAACCTCCTCCTTTTCAAATACACCAACCCAAAGCTCCATGTTTAGGGCCATTAAGTCTCCCCATAATTTATCCTTTCCCATTCTAAAATGTGCTAGATTACCAACCCACTAACTATCACACTTCCAATGATGCCAGCCTTGATCCCCATCTTGTTTTTCCTTGGGTATCTTCAAACTTTTCATATGTTTCCCGTATGTATATGGGAAGATAAAATCCCCAACAAAATCCTCAACAAAACTTGTAAAGCTGCTACTTTATTCTCTTTTTAGTCCCCCCTCCTTAATGACCACTTCTGTTATGATGCCTACAAATCAATGTCTTCCAGCATTAGTGGAACTAAGACTCCTGCTTTTGTAACTCTATTAATAGTATTACTTCATAACCCACAACCCATTTTCTGTTTCATTTACCTGTTGTATTCTTTCTGATTGCTAAAGTGTAAACTCTTTTAAAGCAGCGACTAGCTTCTATATTATTTTGCCTTTCTAGTGCCTTGCTCAATAGGTCCCTGATCCTTCAAAGGATAGCACATAAACAGAAAATCAAGGTTCCTGGGTAAACATCCCACAAAATCTACAAATGACCATTGAAATTAATGTGTCTTTGTAGAGCAAGTCCCTAAGGCTACGTCTAGACTGCAAGCTTCTTTCAGGATAAGCTTTTCCAGAAGAGTTTTTCCAGAAAATTTTCTAAATACAGCATCTACACACAAAAATGAAAAAGCAGTGTGCTATTTCAAAAGATAACATCCACATTGATTGGATACTGTCTCACATTTAAGGCCACCCGGGACCAGTTCAGGCAGGGTATTAGGTCAGTAGTTGCTTCCAGGTACTTTTGCCTAAGATTATCTGGGATGCCTGCTTAAAGGGACCCCCCAGACAGCCGTTTCTCAGCTTCTTCTGCTTGTTTGCCTACCTCTCCGAGAAAAGTGTGTGTGCTCTGGTTGCTCCACTTCCCCCACCATGGAGCCAGAGCTGCCTCTGAGCATGCAATGGCCCCGCACTGCCACGCTAAAGTGTCTGCAGGTTGCCTTCATATTCCTGCATGAGCTCAACTAAGAGCTCATATCTGAGATCCTCTGCCTGTGTGCAGGAGCAATGCCCTTGCAACCTCACCCACATAGTGGAGAGATGGTTATGGAGGCTGAACACCGGTTCCGACTGGTGAGACAGGCTGGTGATGTAGCGGTGGGATGACTAGCAGTGGCTCCATAACTTCTGCATAAGGAAGGAGATGTTCATGGAGCTGCACACCTGGTTTGCCCCTGCCCTTCATCAATGTGACACCCAGATGTGACCTGTTATCCCCCTAGAGAAGTGGGTCACCATCGCCATCTGGAAACTTGCCATACCAGACAGTTACTGGTTTGTGGGCAACCAATTTGGCATGGGAAAGTCCATTGGGGTCGTCCTCCTGGAGGTAAGGCATTCTCAAGCTGAAGTCCCTGGAGAGTGGGGGAGTACAGGAAAGGGAGACCCTAGGAAAAGGGGGGTTTGGGATGCAGGGGATGGGCTGGGGGTGGGGGTAAGCCTCATCCTTGGGGGGTTCTGTAGTCCCACCCTCACACAGCCCTGTGAGGGGGAGCTTTGTAGGGGGTGGCTGCTAGGGTGTTTGTGGGGGGAGGGAGTGCGGGGGCTTGTGTATGTGAAAAACTAAGAGCACTCACCTCATGATCCCTCCCCAGCCTGGGAGGATGCCTGGGAGACATCCGGGTATCTCTAGCCCCTAGTCCACCACCAGAGGAGGGGAAGGGGCTGCACTGCCCCCCAGGATGCAGTGCAGTTTGCTCTAGTAGGGGCAGGAGTGGGGTCCTGCACCAGAGAGAAAGCTGCTCTCCCTAGCCCTGGCATAGCCTTGCCGGAGCTCTTTAATCTTGCCCTGGACCTGCTCCAGAGTTTGGTGGTGGCCCCTAGTGGCCAAGCTGTCAGCCATCTGGCCATATATATTGGCTTTGCACCACTTGGAGCAGAGATCCTGGACGGTCTCCTTCTCACCCCACACCTCCAGGAGGGCCAGGATCTGTGCCCCAGACCAGGATGGTGCAAGCCTTTTCCTGTCCCTGGCAGACTTCTGGGAGCCCTGGGCATGCTCCCTGGGCACTTGGGGGCCTTGTGACTGGGACATAGTGCCCAGATGTGTGGCAGTGGCAGCTGCACGGTGAGTTGCAGCTCCCAGACCCAGCTTCCTGCCACAGGACCTGCTCCTGGTGTCTGTGGCTTTAAGAACTTCTGGGAAACAGGAACTATAGTAGTGGTCCCCAACGCGGTGCCTGCGGGTGCCATGGGGCCCACCTGGGCATTTATGTGCACCCGCCAAAGCATCTGGGCCAGCCCCGCCCCCACCACATGCACATTCGCGGTGACGGCCCCGGGCACACGTTGCGTGGGTGGCCCCTGCCCTGGGCGCGTGGCACATGTGCGGTGCCAGCCCCGGGTGCATGGCACATGTGCGGTGCTGGTCCTGGGCTCAGGGCATGTGCAGAGCCCCTACCCCAGGTGCACAGCAGCCCCGAAAGGTTGAGGACCACTGAACTATAGAGTTGTGATGTGTGGACCAAGTGGCCAGCAGGGCACCTTTGTTATTTCTTGAAGGCCTCTTTTGTCAAAACAACTGCCTCTTCAGCATCCACAGATGCCTTTTTCCGAAAAAGCTTGTCAGAAAAAGCCTTATTCCTTATAGAATGAGGTTTATCATCATCGGAAAAAGCACTGATTAGGGACAGATTCGGCCATTTCTTGTAGATATAAGGTAAATCTATACTGCAGCATTTTTCCAGAATAATGGCCATTATTCTGGAAAAATGCTGCAGTATAGATTTACCTTATATCTACAAGAAATGGCCGAATCTGTCCCTAATATATAGGTGAATTAATAGGCATCTATATACCACAAATAAATAAAATGAACTCTACATCAGGATGCCTATATCAGTGCACCATTCCATGTCCACCATATTTTGGAAGAAAAGAGCTAATTTAATTAAATGCTCCTTTGCAAGTAATTTTGCTCCAGCCCTCACCCATGAGTAACTTTGCATATCAGTTTATATACATTTGTTAATAGTTATTGCAAATGTATTGAACTATATAGCATTGCATGCAGCACTTAGGTGGGGGGTTTTCAGTAGCTGGTCCTGAATTTCTGGGTTTAATATAATTTTCATTCTATAGTGACTTTGATCCAATGATCTGAAAATGCATTATAAACATTTATTTAATAATCCCCAAAACACTGCTGTGAAGCAGGAGAGTGTTAGTATAACCAATTTAAAGGTGGATAATCTGAACATGAGTGAAGTGTCTGTCCTAAATTCATACAGTAAGCAAGTGGCAGAATGAGAAATAAAACAAAGGAGTCTTGACTTCCACTCCTATGCATTAATCATGAAGCAACACTCCTTTCAAATCATATTGGGAAACTGACAGTTTGCTTGCAAACTCTTTTTCTAAACATTGACTTTTATCAATATTAAGCCACTCTTTAACTCTGTCATGACAAAAACATAGTGCACTCTAGATTTTTGATAGACTATGAACATAAATTCATAAATGGGACCTGGAAATATTAAGTAGATCATTCTTAAACAAAACTACAATTTATTAATTTTAAAAATAAAAAGTCTCTTGAAAACATAGTGGTTTTTAAGATAGCTTATCAATGCCTCTGCACAAAAGTCAACAACATTTGTGTGGTGTTACTATTTCACCATTTGCTCCTGTGGGATCTAAAAACAATCAAAAAAATCTCAAGAAGATGTCAATACAAGTCTACGACAGACCATATTATAATGTCAAAACTTTAGTAAATTAGACTGTAGAGATGCCAAGGCTATGGTTATGAAATCAAGACAAAATGCGATGATGCCAGTGGAAGTCTGTGGAGACCACATTATCAAATCAAAACAAAAGGAAAATATATATATACTGTTACTAATAAAGGAAATTGTTTAAAATGTAGAGATTGTAGCAATGGAAAATGACCCAACCTTTAAATGGTGAGGACCTGTGTGTAGATGCATGCACAAGGGCTATCTTATTGAATGTGTATTTCAGGTTATCTGTCTCAGAGGATTGAAGAGTCCTGCTTAGTGAGAGCTAACTTTGCTACCTTTACAAAGAGAGTAATCCCTTTAATTAATGGGTTTGTGTGTGGATTTAAGGTACTACTCAGTGTAAGAATGATAGAATCTGGTCCTTGATGACCAGCAGTCCAAGTTGTGTGATTCCCACTACACTAAAGAAATCTTTTTTGTTGGGAGAGGGCGACATTAAGAATAGCTGTAGGGTAGAGGGCAAGAGGCACCATGATAGCTGGTAATGAATTTCAGCTGGTTTAATCAGTTCATCTGTATCCCAGTTCTTTCATGTTATGAGGCATCTCTAAATGTCATCCAAGGTATCAGTGAAAAAGTCATGACTCTCTAATTAGTAATAGCATTGCCTAATGTAAGTAAAACAACTGAAGCAAATGTATGTATATAAACTGAATTTATAATTTTTATATTGTATTTTCCAGCCTGGTAGAAGTTACTACACTGAGGTGAAAGGAGTGTGCTTTCCCCACATAGGAGTCACTTCCACAGTACTTTGGAAGACAATAAGAATGTATTTACATACTGTATATACCGATCCATCAAGTTAACAAGCATGGGGCAGCAAACTCATACTATCACTGCAGGCAGGGGGCAGGAGATAGACAATAAAATATCTAATGATCATTCAGTTGCACCAGAAGAATTAACTGGGATGTGAATGTTTAATTGGTTAACCAGTGGGGGCTGGAGCAGCCCTCCTGCCCAATGTGGGCAGGGGGTTGCTCCAGCCCACCAGGGCCCATTGTGGGTGAGGGTCTCTCCAGCCTGGACTCAGCAGTGTCGGGGTCAATTGCAGAAGAACTCTGTACGTGTGACGTATAGGGGTGGTGAGGCCTGCATTCCCCCCTCTTTTCCCATCCTCTCCCCCCCTTCCCTACTACTGATGAGCCAGAAGCAAGCCTCTAGGAACATATGCCATTGTAGCAAGAACGAATTGTAGATAAGGGCGGGAACATAACACTCTTGTTTACCTAAATGAACTGATCATGTAACTAAAGTCAAAGGACAAGCAGTACAGCTGAGCCCTACTGTAACAAGCAATGAGTAACCCCTGGAAATTTCCAAACTGCCACAAACAAGGTAGTGACACAGCAATTAAAGCTGCACCAGAGCACAGCAATTTCGACCTCACCAATGGGGTTTGGGTACCAGCGCCTCAGAAGCTGAGACAGCCTCCCACTTCATCTGCAGCTGAAACAGGGTTCCCTGGATAGCAGAAGGGATGTAAGAATGCTGCTTCTCCTATCTTGTTATTGTTATTCTTTTAGTTAAGGGGTGCAGCTGATAGCTGTCAGAAAATAAATTGCTTGTGTAGCATGTCTTTATACTTTGAGACCCCAGTGTCAGACCCGAGACTTATTCTTTCCCACAACAAGCAGCCCATGTCTGTGGTGGCCCCATCCTGTCCAGAGCAGTGAGTGGGAGTGCTCTAGCCCAGCCACAGGACCACTCCAGCCCAGCAGTGGTGGGTGGGGATAGCAAGCACTCCAGACCAGCTGGCCTGCCTCCATTTTAGCAGCTAACTGGTTAAGCAGGATTTTTTTTTTTTATAATGGAGATTGCCTATCTCCTAGAACTGGAAGGGACCTTGAAGGGTCATGGAGTCCAGTCCCCCTGCCTTCACAGCAGGACCAAGTACTATCCCTGATGAATTTTTGCCCCAAATTGCCTCTGCAAGGATTGAACTCACAACCCTGGGTTTAGCAGACCAATGCTCAAACCACTGAGCTATCCCTCCTCCCCCTTGAACAAACTCAATAATTTGTATTATAGCAGACAGCCCTAAAAGAAGCAGCCGAACTCTCCCATCAAGAAAGACTCCATGTTCCCTTCATCACAGCAGGAGGCTTTTATTTGGAGGCATCTTTCAGAAGTATCCATTTCAAAGATTCAATGGATTATACAAGAGAGGGGTACAGAAACACTAGTTAACTATTTTTTACCAAAAGGTACTGGTGCTTTAATTTTGAGGGGGATACATCTGGACCTAGGAATTCAGTCAGACATATTGATAGAAACGTGTCAAAAAGATTTTATCTTGAATGAAGTTTATCATGTTAAAACACATTCTGGTGAATAAAATGTATCTTTATTGCTCTTGTAACAATTTCTTACTTTAATCCTTATATTTGTACTAAACTAAAACACATCTCTTTGGAATTAAATAACCTTGTTGTTGTTGTTTAAATCTCAACCATTCCAGTGCTGTTTTGAACCTGAAGCATTCAGTAATATCAGTGAAAGTAACAAACTGTTGGCTATTGACTTTTAAATGGGGAAATGGACTTTACCATTCTTCTGATTATTCTAGGACAGGGCTGTACATTTCAGCACACATGTTTTTGGCACTGTGAAGAGCAATAAGTCACCTCGGTAGTTAATCAAGACTGATGAAGATCAGTGGAAATCTGATATTGCAAGCAGGCTCCTGGATCCAAATTACTGGAGCCAGCCTACTCAGTACACAGATATAGAGTGCAGACTTATTGCTGACTGCGAATGTACAAGGCACAGAGCTGCAGTAGCAAAGCTTTTAAGGCATTTAAGCTATAATTTTCCCCAAAAGACTATGAGAAAATTTTCTCTTTGCTTTTTTTCTTCTTCTACCTCTTCTCCACCCACCCCCCACTTGCTTTTATTACCCTTGAATTTTATTGGCAATTCACATTTTCACAGGTCCTACATAGATGCCACGTGTGTGCGAGTGGGGTGAACCGCTTTAAAATCCTGGGCAGGAGGGAGCTAGATAACGGTGTCTACTCCTCCATTCCTAGAGGTGATGTCTGGGAGCATGAAGCCTTAAGGTGATGCCCTAAGTAACCACACAATGAGAAATATTGGTATAGTAACCTCAACAGTGTTAACTTAACACATTCCAATACACCTAGGCTGTGTCTACACTGGGCCACCTTTTCCGGAAAAGTAGTCGCTTTTCCGGAATAACTTGCCAGCTATCTACACTGGCCGCTTGCTTTTCCGGAAAAGCACTGACGATCTACTGTAAAATTGTCAGTGTTTTTCCGGAAAAACTATGCTGCTCCCGTTCGGGCAAAAGTCCTTTTCCGGAAAAACTGTTCCTGAAAAGGGCCAGTGTAGACAGCACAGTAGTTTTTCCGCAAAAAAGCCCCGATCGCGAAAATGACGATCGGGGCTTTTTTCCGGAAAAGCGCATCTACATTGGCCACGGACGCTTTTCCGGAAAAAGTGCTTTTCCGGAAAAGCATTCTGCCAATGTAGACGCGCTTTTTCCAGAAATACTTATAACGGAAAAACTGTTCCATTTTAAGCATTTCCGGAAAAGGGTGCCAGTGTAGACGTAGCCCTAGTCTATACCACACTTCCATGGTTAATCAACAAATGTTAACTTGCATGCTTTCTAAAAACTCCTAATTTCTCTGTTTAAACCAAAAGCACATTCCACACATGGTCATAGGGTAATGTGGTACAAACATATGGACTCAGAGACTGCTAAATTATAATAATTAATCACAGACTATATATTTTAAATGAGAACTCAAACAATAGGTTTGGTGTTTAATTTTCCCAATAGAATAATATTGTAAAGCTGTTTTTCTCCCATTGATATTACCCCATTTGTAGGACTAATGATTTGGACGATTTTTACATTTTAGCATTCAAGACTGATAGATAAATTCTTTGCAGGGTTGATGCCTTAAAAGAGATTCCAGTGAGCAAATTAACTATACTGTGAGGCCAGGATCAGAGCCAACTAGAAGCTCTAGTCACAAATTTATTTTTCATCCATAATATTCATGCCCCATAATTTATTCATAATTGTTTTTTGGCAAATTATACTATATGACACATTAGACTGTTTACTTTATAAAGTTCTACAATTTGGAGCAAGAGTCTACAACTTTTCAAAGTTTATGAATCCCCTGGATTAAAAGACTTAATTTTTAATTGCCATATTTTGGCTAAAATATAGACTTTTAAAAGGGCAGATGTACTGAACTGCCTGATCTGTTCCTGAAACCCTTATATTATGTGAGCTGTTTGCTTGAAATGAAGCTGGTACAAAATAAAGCTCCTTGAGTCAACCTTGGAAATATGTCACACAAAAAAGGCAATTGAAAGAGAAGGAGTTTTTAAATGGAATTGAATCTATTTTAACCTTACATAATATTACCACTGTAATGCTTAGTGAGTACACCACATCATACTTGCTTGTCACCTTTTAGCCCCCTTGTTAACTTTCCCTTTTTTCAGGTCTTCTAGGGAGACTTTTTTTTAACTGCTCAAACATCAGTAAAACTGCTTCTCAGAGTACTGAGATGTACAACAAATGCATTTAAGTGCATTTTGGTCAGCTGTGTACAGAGCACAGAAATGTAGTGACAACTTAACCTTCATTATCACATTTCTTCTTGATTGTACTGTGTATGCTTGTGTCTTGTTGGAAAGGCACTTGTTTTTTATATTAGAGGGCCGGCCTTAAATCATGGCCACATGGATTATTTGAGACCTATGCCATCTCCAACACACACATGTTGTTCGGCAGTGTTCTATTTATATACATACTTTACCATCATAATATTAATGACATTTCATTTGGGGATATTTAATAGGCTAAATTTAAAAACAGAAACAAATGTTTGCAGCTAGATTAAAAAGCGCACCTGTGCCTTGCAGGTGTAGTTATAAAATGTTTTCAAAGGGCATTGAATCAATGCCTCTATTTCAATATGCATCCATTAAACAGCCTCCACGCAGGTAAAACACCAAATAGCTTGAGGATTTTGAGCACTCCATTTTCACAGTGGGGCAGAACAAAGTGCTATGGCACAGGGCTTCTAAATTCACTAGTAAAATCCAGAATATTCCATATCTCTCAGTTTACCAACCAGATAGGTGAAAATATTTTAAAGCTAATCTTTCAGTCTATGTCGAGATTTCACCAGAAGACTCCTATTATGAATAATGTGAGTTGCTAACAGTGGGTGGAACTCTAGGGATTGATTAGGTAAAACACTGAATGTAGGCTCACTGGAACACTTTAACAAAATCTGCTCTGCCGTTAACAGACTAATCATTTTGTCACGGTGCTTCCTGCAGCATGGCCACTCTGCCATCCACCTGGACCTTGGCTTCCTGTTGTTGACTTTTTTCCAAGATACCTCTGATAGGCTTTCTGAAATTTATCTCCCCTCTGCACAGTGTAATCCTGGATTCCTGTCACCTTTCAGGACTGCTCAGATTATCCCTCTCCTCTACATGCTGCTCTACTGAAATGATATGAGAATGCTGGTGTCCTCTTTATGCTCTGAGCAGCTCCTTTGCAGGAAATGCTAGCCAATTCATTTAAATTTCCCACTGATATTATAGGTCTACTCCAGTAGTCAGCATAAGTAGAAATGGCAGAATTACATCCTTAAAGGCTATGTGTAAAAAATACTAAAAGAATATTCATAAGAAAGTTTTTGGAAATTTTATACATGGAATCTCAGAAGAATAACTGAAATGAAGTAAAATTATGCTAACAAAGGCCTGGATCCTGCCGAATCCTTTGCACATAGTTAACTCGAGGCACATAAATACACATGTCCAGATAAGGGGACTAATGAGTGAACCCTGTGC